AGTGCTTTATGTCTATTGGTATTTGATCTTCACAACAACTCTGGGAGATAGGTGCTATTATAATCCTCATTTCATAGATGAGGAAAGTGAGGCTTAAAGAGGTTGAGTGACTTACCTGGGATCACACAGCTACTAAGTGTCAAAGAACAAATTTGAACCCAGTACTCCGGACCTCAGGTTCAACACTTTGGCTACTATGCCACTTAACTGCCTTTCACTGGAATGGGCGCTATGACAAAGACAGTTCTATTACAGTGTACAGTAACTTAAGTAAACACATGGTGGGGCCTGAATTTGTATTCACTGCCTTACACACTAAAGAACACCAATGGAATATTGGATTATTGCTATATAACTGGATTAACATAAAAGGCTGTATTTCAGATAGCTCACTGTCAGCAACTCTTAACAGTACTTCTCATAATACTCTCTGGATAACAGGGTACATGAAAAGTGCATTTTCAGTAATAAAAAAGAAAAGTGATCATAGTTCACCGAATTAGCACTCATAGAGTTGTACTAGAGTGGCTGTTATCTACTGCCACTGTAATCTAAGGTAATGAATATTTGTAATAGAAATCCTATTCTTTAGTTCTTCAGCTCCACTATAAAAATCTATTTGTGTTGACAACCAAAGCATAACACATTTGTTGCAGCACGACATTCCTAAGCTTTCACTCTTTCTTTTAGCTATTATGAAAGTACATTGTATTTACTATGAAAGAGAAAAAAAAAATTTAAGTCCATTCTAGTACAACCAAGTGAAAACAGGCTTATTTTTCAAACTATATCTGACATTGCCTAAACACAGGGAACACAAAAGTACTATTTACAGTACATAGTACCAAATGGTCAAACTACTTCTGATGGCACAAGCAATAGCAGCAACAGCGGAGGGCAAAGCTAACCACAGTTGGCAGGCTTTGGCCTCCACTCCTAGCCCAGCGGTACGCTAAATTTGAACAGGGACTACTGAAAACAGACTAATCAATACATCTGTGTCCTGTTTGCTTCAAGTCAAGGATGTGCTGCTCAGATATCATGCTCTGATAAACACTCACAATAATAACTTTGATTTCCACCATCAGGGCCAGAATTACTTAAAAAAAAAAAAGTAGGTCAATTTTGCCTTTAAGACTCAGGTGTCACTCTCTCAGCCCTACAAAAAGCAAAGCCAGTTACCAGGAGGTGGTAACCATCCACAGAGACAGGGCAGCCTAAAATGGATAAGGAAGAAGAGGAGGACAAAGAGGATAACTTGCATTTATATATTGCTTTAAAGTTTGCAAATCACTTTATAAATATTAGCTCATTTGATCCTTACAAAAACCTTGGGGTTGGGGGGGCAGGGTAGATGCTATTATTATCCCCATTCTACAGATAAGGAGATTGAGGCTGACAGAGATTAACTGACTTGCCCAGGGTCACATAGCTATAAAAGTCAAAGGCTAGATTTGAACTCAGGTCTGCCTGACTCCCAGCACTCTATACACCATAGTACTTAGCTGACAAATGTCAAGGGATGCCAAAGCCTATAAGGCAGAACATCTGGTAAAATTTACTATTCTAGAGTAGGGGTTCTGAGACAGGGTTGGAAATTCAGAATAGGAGAAAGGGAAGCAAATGGGAGATTAAAATCAAGAGAGGTACTAGTAAGAAAAAGAAGAGAGCCTCCAGGAAGGAAGCTGTCCATTCAGGAGCAAAGGCAGGAGAAAAGGGAACAGAGCAGGTCTAAATTAACAGTCTTCTTGTTGCCCTACCTATGTGGAATGCATCCCAGAACAAAAGGAAAAAGGAACAGAGAAATCCAGGGAATTGTGTCCAGCATTACAAACCCAGGGTACCCAGGGAAGTGTCTAATGGAGGCCCAGTAAAAGAATGGTAAACAAAGGTCCCAGTGACTCTAAGGAATGCAGAATGCTCATCACAGGGACTTCAGCTGCCTCTTGGACTGTACGTTTTTCTTCCAAAGGCTCTCTTATGGAAAGACAAGCTGCCTTGGTGAAATGGAGAGAGTGCTGAATTTGGAGGACTTCTGTCCAAGTCCTAGCTGTGCCATGGACTATCTCTGTGACAATGGACAAGTCATTTCATCTCTCTGGACTTCAGTTTCAGTTGTAAAATGAGGGTGTTCAAGTAGATGAACTCTCAGGTCCCTTTTAGCTCTATAATCCATCTTGAGAGATCAACAGGTTGTACAAAAAGCAAATAGTTGGGAGCTTGAACAGCCGTTGGGAGGGGAAAAAGTGGGAAAGTACTGGATAATAACAGGTGAAGAATATGGTAGTATTGGGGACAAGCCCTAGGACTGGCTATCACTGGGAAGGTGGGCTGGGACCCATTTTCCCAACTGGTTTATCTCATGTGCCTTGGGGTCTTGCCAGAGTTACCAATTTGTAGATCACTACTCTCAAATTATTTTAAAAAAAAAACTCTAATACTGTGTAATATTCAACCAAGAATATACTATATATGTATTAATCATCAACAGGAAAGCTACGGAAAATAAAAAGGCTGAAAGGGACTTTCCATTATGATTGATTTTATTCACAAATGCATGCACACTCACACCAACAGATGTATATCTAGAAAGAATATTTCCTTATTTATAGCTTCCAACAAAAACCATTAATGACCCCTCCAAAAATGAATTATTCATACACAATAGGATGAAGCATCTGCCCACTGATTTAGGCTATTTTTTTTTCTTTAAACAGTGATATGGTCAACCAAGTTACTTTTAAATTTTTCCAAAGGATTTCCCTTACACTTCAACATCTAATGAGCGTGATGACTACTCAACATTAGACAACTCAAGTTAGAAACCACCATCTCACCTTCCAGATTCATTTGAAACAAACTGTATATTTAGCATAGTTGAACATTTTCAAATTTAATCCCTTTGATTCACAGATGATCTTTTCATGTAATATTTAAACATGCTGAATTACTAACATGGGGCACATGTCCCTAATCATTACATGCTTTAAATAAAATAAGAGCACAAAATTCCATAACAAAAATCTCTCATATAAAATCTACACAAAAGGTCAGAGAAACTATTGTAACCAAGTGTCCATTTCTCAGGCAGCTAGCAGGAGAGACTCATGCATCTCTGAACCATTTCTCAAGCACAGGCCCCGAGGTGACACAGTAGACGGATAAAGGGCTGGACCTGGAGTCAGAAAGGCCTGAGTCTGAATCCTGCCTCAGATATTTACTAGCCAGAGGACCCTGGGTAATCACTGAACCTCTCTCAGCCTCAGTTTCCTCACATGTAAAATGAGGACAATAATCTCATCTCATAGTGTTGCTGTGAGGATTAAATAACATATAAAATGCTTTGCAAACTTTAAAGTGCTATATAAATGCTCACCCTGGAAGAAGAACAGCCTCTCTGGCCACACTAGTAACTGCCCAGCCTTTGTCTATGATGCCACAGAAACCTTTTCAATAGAGAAGCTCACTCTACCCTGGGACACATCTCCACTCCTTTAGTCTCTCCCTCAGATGGGCTGTTTCAGAAAGAAGATGCCCAGGCTGGCCACAGCTTCATTCCTCTCCAGGCTGCACTCCTGGCTCTCTGGACTTTCTCTACCCTACCTTCTTTATCTCTTCCCCTCACCTCTGTTTTTCAGCTTCCTTTTATGTGCTGTTAGAATGTAAACTCCTTGAGGTCAGGCACTATCTATCTCTACTTACGTCACCTTGGAACAAAACTTCTGTCCATCCAGACAGAAGGAGGTTTTGTTGTTCAAACAGTTTAGTTTCCAATGAAAAAAAAAACTAATATACAGGTTCTAAGAGACACCCTGAACATATACCAGGGCTAAACACTGCTTTTTGAGTCCTCATTAGAATATCCTGTGGGATGAAGTACAAACAGTAAGAAAAGCTGAGTCATATCACAGCTCTGATAATTTTGGGAAATAACATGACTATTTTGAATGAAGAATCTAGCAAATTAGGTTTAATTGAGTCATGATAAAGATCATTTTTAATATCAAAATTGGTAGCTGATTTCCACCACTTGTTCACTCTGCTGGTATTTTCTCCTGCCACACTATGTTCAGCCCCCTCTCGTAGGTTGAAGTAACAATCATTTTTAAACACAGGACAGTGGGAGTGCCAACAACAACTTATAACGGATTTCAATCTAGTTAGGTAAATTAGATGTCTTTTTCTATCCTTTACTAAACAGCCACAAGTTTCTTGTAGTGAATAACACTCAATCTCCAATCTTCCTGACTGCTAATAAGGAAAAAAACAACAACAAAACCAGTTACTCTTCCCACTAATAGTAAGACAAATCTAATTTGAAAACAGAATTTTTTAAAGCAATATTGTCATAGAAACACTATTCTTTTTATTAAGGGACTTTTAATGATACACTATAAATTACAAATACTCCACAGGCATAATACTGACTAATGTTCCTTAAAGAAACTTAATTTTGGTCATGAGATGTCCTTCTGGGATGCAAGTGGTGCAGTGAAAGACCTGAGTTCAAATCTGGCTTCACACTTCCTAACTGTGTGACCCTGGCCAAGTCACTTTGTTTGCCTGTTTCCTCAAATGTAAAAAAGGGAAAATAACAGTACTTACTTTTCAAGTTTGTTGTAAGGATCAAATGAGATAATTATGAAGTGCTTAGAACAGTGCCTGGTACATTGCAGGTGCTTATTAAATGCTTATTCCTTCCCCTTCTCTTCAGCCTTCCCTTTTCTTTTCTCATGGGGAGGAAAGGGCTAAAGTAATCACCACAACAATACCTTCAGGTGTTCAGTGTACATTCCTAAAAGAACAAACTAATTAAGAAGTCATTGATTGTTCATGCCTAAGTCTAGTGCCAGACACTGTACTGTACTTTAATTGTTTCAAATTCATTCATGATTACTATTTTTCCTTACTTGGCCATTAGGATTCAAAAAACCTTTCTTCAAACAATGGCACGGAAAAAGAAAAGAGATTTTCCTTTGTGAAGAAAAAGATGATCCTACCTGTTTGAGCTTCATAAAGAAAGTCTCAGTGAAAGTCTTTCTGCTGAAGTACCAGAAGCGCTCATTGGCAGGGTACACACGCACCAAGGTCTCTAGCAAGAAGCGGACCGGCTCCACCACCTCGGTGACGACCATATCCACAGCTACAGTCATGAACACCCTTTTATCTAGAGTTAAAAATGGGATTTGTGGTCACAAGCCATGTCACCAAATGTTGAACATCTAACCACATAAAACAGTGGGTCACGGTACATACAGTACATGGCCCAATGTAAGAAAAATGTACTTAATAGGATTCAGCGTTCAATTAATGAATATTCACTCAATGCCTAGACCTACGAGAGATACAAACAAAATTTAAAAAATAAGTTCTTATCTTCAATGAATTTACAATCTCTGTAGAGAGGCAATAGCCATGGAGGAAACAGGCAACAAGATGTCACACGATGAAGTGTCAAAGATAGTTGGGTAGATACAATAAATATCAACCAGCTGAGAAAATGGAGAAATTAGTGTGCTCTGAGGCTGCTATGGAACCTCAGGAAAGTAGCAACCTCTTTGGAATCATTTCTTAAGCTGTAAAATAAAGATAGCTCACATTTGTATAATGTTTTAATGTTTATGAAGTCCCCTCACATAACAATTCTGTGAAGTGGACAATTTAAGTAATACTGTCCCCAGTAGTACAACTCAAAGTGTCCTTTGCCATAGTGGCTAGTAAATTGCTGGAAGCAGGATTGAACCTAGATGTAGTGACTCCAAATGCAGTGCTCTGTCTGCTACAACACACTGCCTCATATAAAGGAGTGATTGGGGTGGGGCGGAGAAATAGTATCTCTGCCAACTGTAACATTTTACAGTATAGGCTGTAGTAGACCAAAGCATCATGAAGAAGGGACCTATGGTGGGCTTCGTTAGTTCCTTGTAAGTAGAGATTGTTTTCATTTTTTGTAATTGTGTCCTCAGCACCTATGCAACTGTCCTACAGCGAGTGCTTAATAAATGCTTACTAATGGACTGAAGGATTCAGATAGACTCAGAAGAAGGCAGGAGGGCATGTAAAGGAGTTATGGTGCAAGGGAGAGGTAGATCCAAAGAGTACCTTATGCTGCCACTTCACTAAGTCTTAAGGCTAACGAGTAAAAAATCCTACCTCTTCCAAACACTAAATGGGATTATAATCTCATAGAGGTGAAGCCAGGAGAGAATAAAAATCAACACACTTATAGATAAACAACTACATGTGGTGTATTCATGTATCCAAGGAAACCTTAAAGGAAGATGGCCTTGTATTCAACTATAACGTTATTATCTACTCATTTTATTCCCCCAGATTTTTTAAAAGCCTTTCTTTCCTTGGACCTCATTACACACTTTGTCAATGACTCAGAAGCCTTATGGTCAAAGGGAACTTGCCAACTGTACTTGCCCAACCAGCCTATGGTCATCCAGTCTCTGCCCAAACACCTTCAATGACTCATCACCGCCCATGTTAGTCCATTCCATTTCTGGGCTGCTCCGATTATTAGGAGGATTCTCCTAACATCACGTCAAAATGTGCCCCCTTGCAACTTCTGCCCAAGGCTCCCATGTCTGTTCCTTAGCACCTAACAAAACACACCTAATCCCTCTTCCAAATGACAGCTTTCTGAATACTTGGAGATACCTACCATATTCTCCTCAAAGTCTTCTCTCCCATAAGATAAACATGACCAGTTCCTTCAACTGCTCCTCATATGACATGGCCTCCAAGGTCTCCTCCACTCTGGTTTCCCACCTCCCTTGGCTGCTATATAGCTTATAAATATTCTTCTTAAACTATGGGGCCCACAGGTGAACAGAGTACTACACATGGGCCCAAAGCAAAGTGAAGACCACAGGGGCTATCACTTATCTTAAATACTTGTCATGTTCTATTTTTATGTTATGATATATGTTCTAGTACTCTCTCTGTAAAACAGCAAGTTCTATGAGATCAGGACTGATTCTTATTGAACTGTTGGTCTCCCCAAATACCTAGTACTTTAAACAAAATTGGTACTTAATAAATGTTTGCTCAAACTAACAGTGTTAACAAGGATATGAATATTAAATGCTGTAAAGGTATGCCTGTTCCAACTCATAATCTAAATTTGTATCACTACATAGCTTACATTCATATTAACTAGGGAATAGCCACATTTTCCCTTGATTAGCAACTTATTTTTGTACATGCCTACAAGAGGGATGAATTTGTAAAAATAAGCAACAAAAGGCTTGATTTTGTCAAATTAGACAAGAAAATCATTTTACACCAGAAATTGTGAGATTCTCACCCCACTTCCCCCCCACTCCCCCCCCCCAAAAAAAGGATGGTGCTGAACAGACAGGATTCCTAAATTCTGCTCCTGGTTCAGCCATACCAGGGGTGGGGAACCTGTGGCCTGGAGGCCACATGTGCCTTCCAGGTCCCTGGGTGAGGCCTTTTGACTGAGTCCAAGTTTTACAGAACAAATCTTTTAACGAAGGGGATTTGTTCTGTGAAGTCTGGATTCAGTTAAAGGGCCAAACTTGAAGACCTCGAGGGGCTACATATGGCCTCAAGGCCACAGATTCCCCACCCCTGAGCCATACCAATGTTTGTCCCTAGACAAGTTACTCAATTTCTATAAGTCTTATTTTCTTCACTTAAACCATGATGATATTTACAATCTCACCCCTTAGCCAGAAAGTTGTGAGAATTCATACCTACAAAGCAGGAAGACACAGGATTATGAAGTATTATTTCAAGATTTTTGAAATGTTGATGTTAACCTAGCTAGTTTTCTATGACTAAATGACTAAGGAAACATAATGTAGCAATATAATTAATCAGAAGTCCTAAAAAGTTGTTATTACCCAAGCCAGCCTCATATACTCTCTTTTCTTTCCTCATTAAAAACCAAACTGCAGTCCATAGTAAAATGGAAAAGTCTGATACAAGAACTGTCTTCATATAATCACAAAAATGTTTTGGTTCTGCAGCTTCACTGAACCAGTTCTAGTGCACTTCCTTAAATCACAAAAGAAGATCTCAGTACTTTCTTACCCACGCAGGTCTACTGTGGGGGGGGGGGGGAGGTTGCCCCATGTTTTCTTTTCTTTTATTACAGATGAAAGAAATTACATTTGCCAAGAGTTTATTCTGCTCCTAATACGCAAGGAAATCTCTTACTGTGTAAGCAAAATTTACACAAATTAAACTAGCATCCGAATTAATGAGCAGAATTTGTACCAGTAACCAACACTTATGACAACTGGTCAGTTCTGTTTTTTCAAAGATTACCAGGTCAAATTGAAAACAAATTTACTTATGTCAAAACTCTTCATGGCCTCTTGCTGCTGCAGCTGTAATACCACAACTCAAGTTCAGATCCTTATCACTTCCCACAGCCTGATGCAGCATTCTGCAAATTAGCCTTCCTAACTCAAGGCCTCTCCTACCACTTACAATGCTAAGAATTGTAATGCTAAAAATAACAGAGATCTCACATGAGACTCAGGACTCTATCCATTAAGCATGAAAACAAAGAAGCACAGAGATTTAGAAACCTTGGAAGCAAACAGACAATCCAGCTTAGAATTTGGCACAGAGAAGGCATAGAACAAAAGATTCAGTCTGATGTGCACAGCAGATTGGGCAAGGCCAGAAAGGGTTCAGGGGAAAGGTGGTCAGCATCCCATGACCTAAAATTCTATAGGGATGAGCACCTCCACAAAAAGGGTTGGAAATGCTCAAGACTGAAAGTAAGAAAAAAAAGAGATTGATCCTGATGAGGGAAAACAGTGGGAGCAGTTTAAAGATGTCTATGTAGGTTCAGAGGGAAATGATCAACTAAGTCAGATTTTTAAAATACATGGAGGAAGGAGGGAAGGAAGAGAGGGAGAGGGAGGAAGGAGGGAAGAAAGAGAGGGAGAGGGAGGAAGGGAAGAGAGAGGAAGGAAGGAGGGAGGGAGGAAGGAGGAAGGGAGGAAGGAAGGAAGGAAGGAAGGAAGGAAGGAAGGAAGAAGGAAGGAAGAAGGAAGGAAGGAAGGAAGGAAGGAAGGCAGGCAGGAGAAGGAAGGAAGGAAGGAAAAGACGAAGGGAGGGAGGGAAGGAGGGAGGGAGGAAGAATCGACCAGTTCCTTCTCTACCCCAAATTTCCTTCAGTCTTAAAAAAAAATCCTCTACCCAACTCTACTAACCCTTCAATTATCCTCCCTTTCTCTTGCAAATTCTCTCCCTTGAAAAAGCTACCTAGGCTCCCTGGTTCCACTTCCACTCCTCTCACTTCTCAATCGTTTGCACTCAGGCTTCTGACCTGTCACCCAACTGAAACATCTCTCTCTCAAGTTATCAATGACTTCTTAATTGCCAAATATGATGCTCCTTTCTTCGTGCTTATCTTTCTTGACCTATCTGCTAAATTTGACTCTGCTGCCCACATTCTCCTCCCGCATGCCTTTTTCCTTCTAAGTTTTCCTCACACTACTCTCCAGTTCTCCTCTATCTAACTACTTCTCCAACCCCTTTGTCAGACCATCATCCATATCACGCAGCCAGCAACGTACACCAGATTCTACACTTGTCGGTCTATGAGCGTGCCTCTCTGTGCCTCTCTGTGTCTCTCTGTCTCCCCCCCCCACCCCATCGTCTGCAGAGAAATTAAATGCAAATCCATAAGCACAGATGAAGTCATCCAGAGGGAGGGTATAAAGAAAAGTCAACACAGCCCCAGAGTAAAATTAGGGGCAAGAAATGGCAATCCACCTGAGGAAAGTGAGAGACGGAACATGCAGACAGATAGAAGGATAGTCAAGAAAGAGCGGTATCAAAAACACAAAGAGAGGGGAAAAGTACTCAACAGTGGTCAAAAAAAGATGGGGACTGAGAAAAGTATACCATACTTGATAATCGACAGGCCAAAGACTGCTCTTTAGAGAGAGAATTCTCAGCTTTGAGCGACTAAGCTAAGAGTCAAACTGCACAGCGTTGAGAAATGAGTGGAGAGGAAGCGGAAGTACTGAGCATCAACAGCTTTTTCTAGGAGTCTGGCCGAAACAGGGACAAGAGATATAGCATGACAGCTTGAAGAGACGATGTGGGTCAACTGAAGAGAGGGTTTTTATGGATGAAAGAGAACTGGTTACATATAAGGAGCAAGGAAAGAGTAAAAGAATTGCAGTGCTGCTGCCAGGACATATTTGGAATTAAGTAACACAAATTTGTAGTGGATACAGTAAACAAGGCTCCATGATTTCCTCCAATACTGTTCAGTGGCCAGTGAAAGGAGAGGAGGAGGCAGATGGTGTGGGTAATCCAGGGCTGGGGTTTTCTAAAGCATAAGCAAAGTCACAGGAGACAAGGGGAAAGGATTTGAGAGTAAGGGAAAGACACAGTTAAACTGGTTAATAATAAGGTAGGCACTTAAAAAATGTTGATTGATTGATCAATTCTTAACTGGCTAAAAAGAACTCAAACTCTAGAGGAACTATAAGACCTGCAATGAAGGGGATCCACATCTGTCTACTCTTACATATCTGACCACAACTCAGTCTACCTTGTTGTATCGTTATCCACCTCCCACCCATCAATCTGAGGTGTCCCCTACATCTCAGTCCCTTAGACCTCTTCTTGCCCTATAAACTCTTTCGATAATTTGATTAGCTTCCAAGGGTTCAATCACCGTATTTATGCAGAGGCATTCAATCTTAATCTTTCTCTTGAAGTACAGCCCTTAATCACTCATAGCCTCCTGAATTTCTTAACTTGAAACTCAAAGTTTCAAACTCATTATTTTTTCCCTTAGGAAAATCCCTTTTTTCATCCTAATGCCCCTATTTTCATTAACAACCATATTTCCTATCTCCCAAGTTCACAATCTCAAAGTTGTCCTCGACTCTTGCCACCACCTCAGGCACCATATCTTATCAATTCTACTTCCACAACCCTCTTCACATCCTGTCTTTCTAATTACATGACCACTATTCTAATTCAGGTCCTTGTCACCTCTCTTGGTAAAAGCCTCCTAACTCAGTATCCCTGCTCCATTCCCTCTCTTCTCTAATCTGGCCACCATGCAACTATGACACAGATATTCTTCAAACATAGGCTTCACCCTATCACTCTCCTGCTCAAAATCTGTGGTACATCCCTACTGTCTCTAGCATGAAGTACAAACACCTACAACCCATTCTTTAAAGCTTTGCGAAATTTAGCTCCCATCAACTTTTGCAGCCCCATTCCCTGTTAGCTTCCTTTTCTATCACTCTAGATGCTGGCCAGCTTGCCCACTAACAGCTCCCCAAAGTCATCTGGCTGCCCCCTCTGTGCCTCTGTACAGACTAGCCAATGATTGGAATACTCTTCCTCCCCAAATGCTTAGAATCTCGAACTTCCTCCCATCTTCCCCATTTTCAGGCACCTTTCCCAGGAACTATCTTGATCCCCCCATCCCTACTGCTAGAAACTAAATTCCTCTCCAAATTACTTTGTATTTACTTAACTGTATACATAATGCCTGTCTCCCATCCCCATCTCCTCCTACCTAGCTCAAACCCAAGTAGAATGTAAACTCCTTAAGGATCAAAACTGTTTCGCTTTTGCCTATATATTCCCAGTGCCCTGGATATGAGTAGACCTCAATTAGTATCTGTCACATCAAAGTGCCACAATTTTAAACAGGAACAATTACTTTTGCATCTTTAAGACCATGACCATTACCAATAACCAATAACAATTTCCTAAGTATTTCTTTACGGTAATATTTTCGTATAGAAAAATCTTAAGCCAAACAATGAAAAATCTTTGGAGAAAATTCACCTTTAGGAGTTTCTTCATTAAGTGCCAAGAATGTAGGTGTGTTGGGGTTCCACATTCCAGTAATAACATATGCTCTTCCATCACAGCTCTTTCCCATGGATTCCTATAGATACATAAATATTTAAGCAGGTATTATTTGGAGTCTCTTTAGAAAATCAGAATTTGTAAGAAACGAGATATATGAAAATTTTAGATCTGCAACATGACAAAAAGCCTTTTACTTCAGAAAAATTCTTCTCTAGAAAAATATTTTCCATACGAGTCTTTAAATAGTAGATTCCCTGAGGGCACCAAAAATACAAAAGTTTAATTCTGTCAAGTTATTAGGAACTCATCTCATGGAAAAGGCAACTTACATGAATGAACCGAATCACAAAAACAGATTTGCAGCAGCAATCACTAATATCTTGATTAACCTCATTCTGATTCAAAAAAAATTCCTATATATCTACTCTCCACACACATATAATCACAACGTGCTTACCTTTTTAGGATAATCAATCAACTAATTAACAAGCGTTTATTATGTGCCTACTATATGCCTGGGCATCTAGGTAGCACAGTGGATAAAGTGCCAGGCCCGGAGTCAGGAAGACTCCTCTTCCTGAGTTCAAATCTGACCTCAGGAGCCCACTAGCTGTGTGACCCTGGGCAAGTCACTTTACCCTGTTTGTCTCAGTTTCCTCATCTGTAAAATGAGCTGGAGAAGGAAATAGAAAACCACTCCAGCAGCTCTGCCAAGAAAACCCCATGCTATTGGCATGCTAGAAGAGTCAGATATGAATGAAACAACTGAACAACAACAACTATATACCAGGTACTAAGGACAGATACAAGGTTAAAAATGAAAAAGTTCCTGCCCTAAAGGCATTTAAATGGAAGAAACAATGCAAAGACCCATCTAATAGAAAGAAAACAAACAAAAGAGGGCTAAAGAAAGCCAGAATGCTCTTGGATAGAGCACTGGGCCTAGAGTTAGAAAGACCTGAATTCAAATCCAGACTCAGACATTTACTAGCTGTGTGACCCTGGGAAAGTAACTTAACCTTTGTTTGCTTTAATCCACCAGAGAAAGTAATGGCAAACTTCTCTAGTATCTTTGCCAAGAAAACCCCAGGAACAACATGGTCCACAGGGTCACAAAAAGTTGGACACAACTGACCAAAAGACAACAAAAGGTTATCAGCAGTGAAACTGATGTTAGCCTTTTCCCCCAACAATGAATTTCTTTTTAAAATATTGATATTAATCTACATTAGAACACCATCATACCATTAAAGGCTGCCATTTTTTTTTCCATATTAGCCAACTCTGGATCATCTTAAAATCAGTCCTCTACACCATGGATCATCCATATACTTCACCTACCACTGAAAGCCCTTCACAATCCAGCCACAGTCTGGCCTACCTTTCCAACCTCATTAGGCTTGATTCACCATTTAACCATTCTCACCATTTAACATCCAGCAACGACCTTCTTGCAGCTTTCCTTCCCTGAAGCTTATGAAGTGAGGTCCCACATGATACACTCTTTCATTGCCATGGCTCGGCACTGGCCGTTCTCCAGACCTGGAAGGCCATAGCTCCCCATCACCAACTCCTGGAATCCCTTGTTTCCTTCAAGACTTACATCATGTTTCCCCTTCTACAAGGATCTGCCTGGAATCTGCCCAGCTCTGACAGCTCTGCCTCCAAAAATTACCTTGTATTTATTTTGTGTTTTCTTGTTGTTCAGTCATTTCCTAGTCATATCTGGCTCTTTGTGACCCCTTTTGGGGTATTCTTGGCAAAGACACTCTTTTCCAGTTCATTTTACAGATGAGGAAACTGAGACAAATAGGGTTAAGTGACTCACCCAGGATCACACATTTAGTAAGTGTCTGAGGAAAGATCTGAACTCAGGAAGATGAGTCTTCCTGACTCCAGGCCCAGTGTTCTATCCACTGCACCACCTAATGGTATGTATTCTATATACACTTATTCATGCACTTGTCTCCTCCGATAAAATATAAGTTCCTGGAGGCCAGGAACTATGTCCTTTTTAATCTCTGAATTGCTGGCATAGGGCATAGTGACTGGTATATAGCAGGCACTTAAGAAATATGTACACTGTTTCTTCCTACATAGCACAACCTGATGAATTGAGTTCAGAAATAATTATTCAATTATATTCCAAGTTTCAGCAAACATAAGGACAATAGCAGCATATTACTAAAGGGAGGTTTGCAAGCTTCCCATAGCATTTTATAGATAACAGAATTATCATGTTTTATTTAGATTTATATGTGTGCATGTATAGTACCTACCCTCTTTTCTAGGTTATAAATTCCAAGAGCAAAGAGATCATATCTTATTTAGCATTCTATCTCCTCTAGTACCAAACACAATGCTCCAAAAATAGAAAATACTTAACATATGGTGTTAAATAACATGTTGGTTTAAACATGATTTCCTCCAAACTTTCCCAGCAGTTAAATGGTGCTAAATTTAATTTTTGCCCTTACTCCAGGAGCACAAATACTAAAATGGAAAAACACCAAGATTAGCATGGGCCTTGCCCCAAGATAACACATAAATTCAGGAAGAATTTTATTCTTTTTTAATAGACAGATTTAATGCCATTCCAAATATCAAGGGGATTCTTTTTAGAACTAGACAAAATAATATCAAAACTCATATGGCAGAATCAAAAGGTCAAGAACATCGAAGAGGACAAGGAAAATACACAGGCACAGAAGCAGCCTGGCACTACCAAATCTCAAATTATACTCTAAAATGGTCATCATCAAAGCTGTTTGGGACAGGTTTTTAAAAATAGCAAAATTGAACAATGAAACTGATTAGGTAAACAAGACCCAAAAGCAATTGAAGATAGCATCCCAGTGGTCAACAAAGCTCAGGACAGCAACCAGTAGGAGGAATGGACTCCCTATCTGGAAGAATAACTGCTGAGAAAGTTTGGAAGAAAACACGTTTAAAGCAACAAGTTATACTCTATAACCTCTAATGAATGCATGATCTAAATATATAAGATGACATCATAAACAAATAGAAGAAGAATGGAAGGAGCTACCTTTGACAACTATGGCTTAGGAGGGAATTTTTAACTAAATGAGGGATGGAAGTAATCACAAGGATAGATTTTGCCAAAATATGTAACTTTCTCTGTCAATGCAAGCTGGCACTATCTCTGTACCTTTTAATCTTAAAGAGTTGTGTAGCACACTAAAAACTTAAGTGACTTGCCCAGGATCACAAAGCCAGAAAGTCTCAGAGATGAGAACTGAACGTAGATCATCTTCACTCTGAGACTGGCTCTCCTTCTACGTCATGCTGACTTTCATTTGAGAAGGTAAAACAGACAAGTTAAATGATATAAAACAGAAAAGCTTTTATGTCAATCGATCAATGCAGCTAGAATTAGAAGATGAGTAGTTAACCTATCTCTGAGAAAGGTTTAATGGCAAAAATATATAAGGAATGGATAGAAATAGATAAAAAATAAGAACAATTCCCCAATAGAAAAGTGGGCAAGAAACATAAAGAGGTAGTTTTCAAAAGAAGAATTACAAGTCAGAAACATGATATCAATATTCCAAATCACTAATGATATCAGAAATGCAATTTTTTTAAACTGAGATTTAACCTCTCACCTATCAGATTTCTGAAGTTGACAAAAGACAAAAATGGTCAACATTAGAAGAGTAGCAATAATATAGGCATACTAAGATACCCCTCAGGGACCCGTGAATCGGTCCAACCACTATAAAAAACAATTTGGAATTATCAATCAATAAGCATTTGATTAATCACCTGCTATGTTCCAGGCACCGTGCTACATGCTTGGGGTACAAATAATTGGAATGAAACAAACCCCACTCACAAGGAGCTTTAAAAAAATCAGTTAGTCAATCAGCCAATAAGAATGTATTAATCATCACTATGTGCAAGGCATTGTCTTAAGCACTGGGGATACAAAAAAGAGGCAAAAGAAAGTCATTAAATGGTATAGTCAGTGCCTTAGTATTGCCTTAGCAATATATCACTATTAAACATAGACCCCAAGAAGAACAAAGATAGGGAGAAAGGTCCCATATGTAGAAAGAGAACAGCAAATAGCTACAAAGAAAGTATGTACCAATCAACTAGTTCAAAGGGGCATTAGTGAGAGAAGACAAAGGTAAGAGATTTTGCAGAGGTAAGAAACAGTAAGTAACCAGAAATAGGGGAAGGAGGTCCTAAGGGAGAGGGAAGAATAAGTATGACTCCAAGGTTATGAATCTGGAATGCTCAAAAGAAACTGAGAAGTTCTGAAGGAATGATGGATTTAGAGGGTAAGGTATCAAGTTCCATTTCGGCTACAATATGAGTTCCTCTTACCTTTCCATTTTTATTTCATATTATTTCCATTCATACACTTTCTCTTCTAGTCAAATTAGTCTGTTCTCTAGACACAGCATTCTATGTCCTATCCCTGTGACTCTGAAGAAGTAATCCCCTGTATCAGTGCTTCTTAAACTGTGGGTCTCAACCCCACATGGGGTCGCAAAAAATTTGGCAATACTCAAAGATTTCTGAATGTGCAACGATCAAAAGTTAATTCAAAATCAAACATGTAATGAATCCGGGGTGTTTCTGGCAGCACGTGACCATGTGCATCACACAACCTCACTACAGCCTTGGCTCTGAACACACAACATGCGTACTTTGCACTGCACATGCCATCACACCATGTAACACCAATGAACGCTGCTGAAATGCGAAAAGGGGTAGCAAGTGGAAAAAGTTTAAGAAGCCCTGCCCTATATCTAAAACACGATCCCACTGTACCTCTGCCAAACAGAATTCTTATATTCCTTTAAAACCTGACTCAGGTACCACTTCCCTCCCACAGCAGCCAGGTGGCACAGTGGACAGAGTGCTATTCTTGGAATCAGAAGACATGAACTCAAATCTGGCCTCAGACACTGAAGAGCTGTGTGATCTTGAGCAAGTCCCTTCTATGTGCCTCCGTCTCCTCATCTGTAAAATGGGATAATAATTGCTCCCACTACTAAGGTGGCTGTGAAGATAAAAGTGCAATAATATTTGTAAAGCACTTGGCAAACTTTAAAATGCTATATAAATGTTAGCTATTATTATTACTAAGACATTCCTTTTCCCTTTCATTACCAATGATTATCACTCTCTCCCTCTTAAAATTGAATGTAGAATTTTGATGTATGTGCTTTACATTTCAGTTTCTACATACATGTCACACCCATCCCACCCCCATTGAGATATAAGCTCCTTGAAGACAGGGACAGTCTTGTTTTTGTCTTCTTATCCCAATGACAGAGTAAAAACATGAATATTTGTTGAACTGAACTAAATCTGATCTAGTGGGTATTTCTTTCTGTGTAATAAAAATTTATTTTAAAATTATTCAATTCTCCATTACTTAAGGTCATGAAAAGACAACACAGATAAAAGAGAATAATAAAAATCCACATGAGTAAGCCAGTCATCCTACCAGCCCTCAGATTTGCTTAGTCTCTCTTCACCAGAGGTACTGATGACAACAGCCTCTCTCCACCTCCAAGTATATCCAGCCTTTGAAGGATGATTGCCAAAAATTCTTGAAAAGGCTCAAATAAAGGTATACTGAGGCTCTGGGATGAGGCTTTTCAGAGAAATTTGCTATGTCAATCAGTGTTTTTGAGGCTTTAAAGGTTCACCCTTTAACATCCAGACATCTTAGAATTCTTCATGGCCCAAAGCCACCTTCTCAGAGAATGCCAGTGTCCTAGACAATCAATATTTGCACATTCACTAGTGATAACAGCATATATATTTATATACACATATGCATGCAGAGATGGAAGCTAACAGGCTATATATGGCTAACTTGAGTTTCTGGGTTCAAAATAACTGATGCATTTAAAAACTCATAGGAAGCTTTTCCTGATTTATTCTAAAGAAAACTGATTCTTAAGAAATTCAGAGGAATACAACAAAATTAAATCAACACATAAGCTATTTTAGAGGAGGAACTTTAGAATATATGTAGAATATAAACAATGGTCAAGAAAATATACTGACTGGGGCAGGTACGTGGTACAGTGGATAGAACACCAGCCCTGGAGTCAGGAGGACCCGAGTTCAAATCTGGTCTCAGACCAGATGCTTGCCACTAGCTGTGTGACCATGGGCAAGTCACTTAACCAATTGCCTCGCCAAAAAAAAAAAAATTGACCAAAAAAATAGAGTACCAACCATAAAACTGGCTCCTGCCTCTAGGACTTAGAAAATTTATGCCCGATTTCATCATTAGTGCTAGTAATAAGTGGTACTTCTGGCTATTATCTAAGACTTTGAATGTTGACTTGCAGCTGCTGTAACAAATACCAATTTTCACAAACTCATGATGGCTTTTAAAGATCTCTTTTAAATGCCATGCCTAAAGGCAACACATTTTTCTAAGGCCATCAAAAAGGTGGTGGAAAAATTCTTTAAAAGAAATGTCAATCTTACTATTCAAATTAATAATACTATACTAAAATAAATGAAAGGAAACATATATTCCCTTGTGGAAATGCCTGTTATTTCAATATCCTTGCTATTCTTAACTCATCAAAGAAAAGACATTTTCCTAAGATTAACAACAGATGAATAAAGTGTCAAAACACTAACTTGTATGGGCTTGCCCCTTCCACGTAATTTCTTCTGTAGGAATTTACCTATTTCCCACCTTCTTCAGTAATTTCAGGTTCAGGTTTCTAAAAGACCTTATTCAATAAAATTGTGCACTAGAAAACAATTCCTTAAGAAATTATGACAAGTATCTCAACAGGGGCATCTGACACCATGAAAAAATAACTATGATCTACACTTGGTTAAGGTGGCTTAAGATAATCATTACCATATCCAGTAAATGCATGTCACTGTTCTTCACGTTTCGACCCGGGCTTAGTAACATTCCAAAACATCTGAAAATATTAAAGAAGAAAAAAAATTTAAGAAATAACAAACCATTAAATAGAAGATTTTAGCCCAGCAGGCAGAAAATCTATTTGTACAATTATTCTCCTCTCTGAGTACCTCAATTCCTATAAATGGTTATTCATATTTGTTGTATATAAACTAAAATTTTCTACAATAGTACATTAAATTACATAATATAACATAGAAATGATAACATCAAATGACCAGCCTATCATTTTCCATTAAAAATTAACAACAGTGTGAGCATTTACCATAGGGCATCTTAGAAATGGTCTTCAAGTTAAGTGCCGATCAAAAGGGGAGAAAGTAATGGTTAAGGTATTAATTTTCAAATAAGAGATTTCACTTGAATAAAGTAGGTTATTCTTAATATCTAGGTCAAGAATCACTAACCTAATTAATTTGTCAAAGGAGATTTTGAGGATAAAAACCATAATTACAGTTTCTCAATACATTAGTCTTAGGTAAATACAGATTAAGTATTGGTTATCATTAAAGACAGATTCAAGGTTTAGTTAGGGTTTGTGCTGTACAATATCTGAGGTCTTTTTCATTTCCCTAGATTTGAGGATTCTGTTATTTACTCCTTCAAACAAGGATACATTATAAAGAGTCCTTATGACTGAAAGAATCCTTCCAAGTATTTTCCCCACCAAAAACTAACTTGGACACTCTATTGCCCCCCAAAAAGGCCAATAATACTGTTAACTACATAGAATCATCACATATTAGAGCTGAAAGAGACTTGGAGATCACCTAGTGCAACCACCTTCATTTCACAAACCAGGAAGTTGAGTTATAGACAAGGATATACCTAAGGTCACAGAATGAGTTAGTAGCAGAGAGGGAACTAAAATATATACAATACACAAATCACTACCTTTAGGAGTGACTGCCCCTAAAGCCACACCTCCTCTTTTCTAACTTTCTGCTGAAATTACCACCTTCTTTCATCAGACACCTGGGATTCATCTGTAACAATTCACTCTCTCTCACTACCACCCCCACAGCCAATCTTGCCAAGTTTTGTTGATTCTATGTCTTCAACACCTGCTATAACCACACTCTTCTCTACTCATACCACAACCACCCTCTTCTAAGCCAGGAATCATCACCTCTCAACTGGACTACTGAAAGAGCTGCAAAATGGCTCCCCTCCCTCCTTCAGTTCCAGCTCTCTCTGATACACATTCCACAGAGCTGTCAATGTCATACTTACTCCTAAAAGTCAGGGTGTTCCCATGTCATTCCATCAGCTTCCACTGATCCTGCCTCCACAAGATCACTCACAGCCATCACCTTCTCTCTAGTCACACAGCCTCTACCCTATTTCAGGGTATTTTGTTCTGACCTTTCTATTTCTCATGGCTTTCTGCCCATCATTTTCCTTCCCTGAAATAGTTTCCACCCACACCTCTGCCTATTAAAATCTGTACTCTCCTTTCAAGGCCCAATTCAAGTACTACCTCCACAATGAAACTTTTCCTAATCCTCCACCCTCATCAAATCTCTCATACCGTTCTGTTTGAAATCTCACTTGACAACCTATTAACAACTTATATTGCAACTTCTTTAATGTTTATCACTTCCCCCTCACTAAATTTTAAGTTCCTTGAGGCCATGGACTATAATTCTATTTCATCCTGGTGTCCCCAGGACACAGCACGGTGAACAGTACATAGCAGGCACACTCAAATTCCAATAGATCCCTACTGGGGCTAGAATCAAATACTAATTCTCCCATTTAACATTTAACATCCTTCTTAACTTGGCCCCAACCTACTTTTCCAGTCTTATTGAACATTTCTCCTCTTCAGACCCAGCACAACTGGCCTCCATGCAGTTCCTCCAACATGGCACTCTATCTGGCATCTCCATGCCTTTGCATTGCCAGTCTCTCAATTCCTAGGAAATAGCCCTTTCTCACCTCTGCCCCTTCAAAATCCCCAGTGATATTCAAGATTTTGCTAACACATCGCCTTCTATATGAAACCTCTCCTCATCTCCCTAGCTACAAATGCCTCCTCACCTCGCAAAAAAACCCATTATTTTGGTTCCATTTTGTCTCCAAGATTTCAGTTTTATCTCTGTATCCCCAGCATCTAGCACAAAGTAGGCACTTAAGTTTCTTTACTGGTTGGTTGATTTTTCACTAAGTTTCTCTTTTTCCAGATCTCTTCCCTTAAATCCTCCTGGTTCTGTCTTTTTTTTTAAAGTAGCTATATTCTGGTTAACATATATATATAAAACTCAAAAAATTATTTGGTATTTGCCAACTAATCTGAAAGGGGAGAAAATGAAATAAGCTGTTAACAAAATATTTTATCACCTGACCTCTAACTATCCTAAATAAATCTTTGGTAATATTAATCCTAACTTCCAAAGTTAATAAAAGGCCCACAAAAAGAAAATTTTAAGGTATTGTGTATCCTCTTCTAAAGCAAGAAATAGCCCTCAACCAGACTTCTTGTATATTACCTGCCCAAAAAAAATGTTATCTGTATATTTCTGATCCAGAATAACACACAAGTCTCAAGTTCAGGATGTAAGAGAGAAATCATAGAAAATACAACCACCATTCTGGCCAGATTTATGTTCCCCTAGAGCAAACCCATGGAGGATGCATTATAACTATTCCCTCTTTATGTCATCAGAAAAAGTTCTTCTAATAAGGCCATATTAATGTACTAATAAGCCAAGGAGAAAAGTCCTTTTAAAAAACAAAACAAGGACTTACAGGACCTCACAAATGAAATATACACTACCTGAAACCAAATAAACTATAGAAAAAAGGATACGATTACTGAATAAGAATGAATTCTTAGATGATGAATGAGGAAATAACTAAATGTTGATTTTCTGCATTCATTTCTCAGAATAAACCTATATTTTAATATCAAAGGATAACATCTATGGGAGGGATAATACAGACATCTTAGAAGCTCAATTCTATTTAAAATAAAGAAATTCAGGCATGTATATATCTTTGATCATATTTTAACAAAAGGATAAGTGATTCTTATAGAACTACAAAAAAATAATAGAAAAGTCCTTTAAGGATGAGTTTAAATAATTGGTTAAAAAAAGTAACCCAAGGAGAAAAATGTAGTTGCATACTATTAAATGGTACTTGAAATCGGAAACAAGCCCACTATTAAAATTATAAGTGAAAACTTCAAGTTCAGCCACAATTACAATGAATTTTTTGATCCAACTATTTACTTGATCTTCTTAGAATGAAACTAGGATTTAATGCAAGGTTAATTTATTCACGTAAGTGTATCAGGGCTGCAAAAAGGCTGCCATTTTAGCTAGCACTAAAACATTATTAGCCAAATGGAAGACAAAAAAACTGTATCCAACTCATGAAGGTCTGAAATTTCAAAGAGACCTCAGAGATCATTCAGTGACCAGCACTTCATTAACCACAGTTTGAGAAGTGCTGTAGGAGGGGCAGCTAGATGGCACAGTGGATAGAGCAGCGGCCCTGGAGTCAGGAGGACCTGAGTTCAAATCTGACCTCAGCCACATAACACTCCCTAGCTATGTGACTCTGGGCAAGTCACAACCCCAACTGCCTCACAAATAATAAAAAAATTTTTTAAAAAAAGTAGAAAAAGGTTAAGAAGCCCTATCTAACCCCCTCCTCAAAGATGAGTCCCTCAGCTATCTCCCTTTACAAATGACATTCAACCACAGCCTAAAAGCTCCAGTGATTAGATGCTGCTAAATCCATTTCTGAACAATTCTAAACTGGTAGGAAGTGTTTCCTTATACTGAGCTGAAATCTGTCTCCTATAACTCATACTCATTGTCCTAGTGGTCCCTCTGAGGTCTTCTGAGCAAAGTAGAAAAACAATCTAATCACTTTCCTATATTAGCTCTTCAAACGGCTAAAGACACTAATTGTGGCCAAAAAAAAAAAATCCTCTCCCCTAGTTTAAAACTCCCTATCAGCTTCAGTAATCCTTATGTGGAATACATATGGAGTCTCCTCAGCACTCATTTTGCCCTCTACCATTACTGCACAAGTTTATCTAGATCCTTCCTAAAAATATTCATATATAAAAAAAAATAGAGGATAGTATTTGACAAGTGCCACATTCAACAGAACTCTTCTGAGCACCACAAAGCTATCGGTACAGCTTAACGTTATTAGCTTTGTTGATCGCCATGTAACAATATTAATTCTTACTAATCACAATCCACTGGAACCTCCTTGTGCTTTGACATTTAATCAGCTTCCTACCTATATCTTCCCATAAGTATGGGATGCTATTGGGACATCGGAGTAGATATGATCAGCAAGCATTTTGGTAATAAAAGAGAGTTCACGAGGGGCAGCTAGGTGGCGCAGTGGATAAAGCACTGGCCCTGAAGTCAGGAGGACCTGAGTTCAAATGCAGCCTCAGACCAAACACTTGACACTTACTAGCTGTGTGACCCCTAGGCAAGTCACTTAACCCCAACTGCTTAAAAACAAAACAAAACAAAAAAAGAGAGAGAGAAGTTCATGAGACTGATTACTGTAGCATATATAGATTTGGGAGTCATATGCTTGGTATGATCATTGATCACATGGAATTAGATAAGTTCACCAAGAAAAAAGGTTACAGAAAGAAGTGAGGAGTAAAGAGAAAAATAGCTTTGCATGACACTTCTAGAGGATAGTGGGCAGGTGCTATAATAGCAAAAAAAAAAACCACACACACAAGAAGGAGTGATCAAATGATTTTGGTTTTTTTTTTTTCCACTGTTGCACTTTTGGGCAAGAAGTGATGATCCATAGTTCCAGAAATTCCAAAGAAGCCAAGAAAGATGTAGTGAGAAAAGAATATTGAATTCAGCAGTTGAAAAATGGTTGGAAATCTTGAAAAGAGTAGTTTCTGTGAGAGTTAAGAATGGATCAGTACTGAATCAGTGGAGTTCAGCAGTAAGACGGAGAAGAGACAGGGTCAAGAGAAAGTTGTGTTAAGGTTGAGGG